ATCTATCTATCTATCTATCTATCTATCTATCTATCTATCTATCTATCTATCTATCTATCTATCTAATCTATCCATCCATCCTAGGCCAGAAGGGACCAGTCCTTGCAAAAGGACATCATGCTGGGAAGGGTGGATGGACAGTACAGGAGAGGGAGACCCCGGATGAGATGGATTGACACAGTAACTAAGGCAATGGTGGTTGGTGTGTCAGAATCAGTGAGCCTGGCTCAGGACAGGGCAGGGTTCAGAGCTGCTGGACAGAGGGTTGCTGTGAGTCACAGGTGACTTAACGGCACACGAAAACAACATGTGAAAGTGTGTTTGTATTTGTTTACAACAACAGACAATGTATTGCTATGTCAGCGTGTGTATATATGTATATATATGTGTATATGTATAGGGATATATGTCTATTTCGCGGATTTTACTTCTCTAGAGACCTCAGCCTGTGACAGGGCTTACAAGATACTCTGGACGACAGCAAGAGGCGTTGTTTTTCCCTCTGACCACCTCTGACCATCATTGACTGGTTCCCTCCCTCCCAGACCCCACGTCTGTCCATCTGCCTGTCCACATGCCCCCAGACTCATCTTTCTCACCTCTATAAATTCCATTCCAACCACCAAGCTGCCCTCGCTCATCTCTGGCCTCCAGATGGCCCCCGTGGTCAGAGGTGAAGTAGGTGAGGGTGGAGTTACTCAGACCGTTTGCTTCAATGGCGTCCAGGATTTTGCCTTTCCAGAAAGAAACACAAACAAAGGACAAAGGTCCCTGAAATAAACCTCCCAGCTGATCCAACATGTTGTTGTTGTTGGTGGTTGTTGGTGTTGTGTGTTCCTGAGTCAGAACTGACCCAGTCCTGACTGTCCAGTGGGTTTTCAGAGGCAGTAAGGAGATGGTCCGTCCTTCTCCCACGAAACAGCTAGTGGATTTGAACCATGTGCCTTTGGGATGTTGAGAGTTCTAGAAAGACCTCTTGTTCATAGGGTCCCTATGAGTCGTGCTTGACTTGAAGGCCGTCAACAAGAAACACACACTCAGGTGTGTCACCGTGTCCTGTCTGCCAGGTTTTGCAGGGCAGGACAAGCAAGTTGGACAGTGCACAGGACACTCACCCACCATCCAGTCCATCTCCTCCACATTGTCCCCATACAAGCCATGGAGACTCCTCCCCAGAAATGCTTCCGTGGTGACCAGGGGGATGTGGACATGCAGCAGGGACACAAACAGGAGAAAAGGCCTGTGTTTGTTTCTGAAACAAAGAACACTGAAGCATTGGCACATAGCAAGACAACTCGTTTCATGCTGTTGGATATATGGTAATCATCCTTTGATACCTTGTCAAGTGTCCTGAGTGTTGCTGTGACACATTTAGCAAGGTCAGACATCCCTCATAAAAAAATGTGAGTAGTTAGGGAGCTCTGGGGGCCTAGTGGCAAGAAGCTGCACTGCAATCCCAGAGGTACGTGCTTCAAATCCACCAGATGCTCTGCTGGAGAAGGAGGGGCAATCTCCTCCTGTACCAGTCAGATTTGACAGCATACACACACACAATAAAAAAAAAATAAAGTTTATGTAAATGTTAAATGGAAATAAAATAAATTGAAATGTATTTAAATTG